AACAAACCATACTGGGTACTTTGGTACTTTCAGATAACTGCGCTCCCTGGTGTGCTTCCAGATCCCAGTCTCTTAATATTCCCAGTGCATGTATAGTAGTTCACTCATGAGCTTTCGTTTGAAGTGAATGAACTGTTTTCACTGACAAGAAGCCTGGGAACTACACTGGAAATAGTTTAGTCTTGATGCTTCTATGCTCTACACAGTACTCTACCACTATCCCAGCAAACTTTGTACCCTCACATCTTTCCGTGCTCCTTTTTACCACTCCACACAGGGTATGTAAAGATGGTTATGTCATCATGCTATAAAAACACCCCTCTTCTGGCCTGACTTTCATGTTCTTTCAAGATTTTCAACTACACCATCCCCACCTCCCCAGTTATTTTCTTAGCAGCACCATGGAAGACCTAGGTCAAGTGTGCGTAATATGGATATGATATGTCTGCTCCAAAGGAAGCTAGTAACCCTGAGCACTGCAGGCCTAAGCTACTCGGCACCCCTTGACCCATGGGCCAGGGGTTAATCTCTGGTACGGATGTCTTTAGCATGCCATCAGTGGATCCACACTGCTGACGATAGACAATGGGGTACTAGTGACCATGAGACACACTGTGACCATAAGATGGCAAATTTTTCACCCTGCGCAATGAGCGTTACAACTCAGTTTGATCTGCAGTCCCTATTCCATTTTCATATTTCTCCCTACATTCATTCTGCATACACTCTGATGGTGCATCTTCCTCCTACAGGGTGCCATCCTACATAGGTTAACTTCTAGGTCTCTCATGAGAAGCCGCATGCACTTTTTCAGAGCTTGGGGTGGGGGTTCTGCTGTAAGCGTACTGGGAGACAGAGAAATCACCAAGCTCTCCATCCTGCAGTTTGGAAGTGTACGTTAACAACCAGCACGTACACAAATAGCTCCCGCATATTCATGGACTGTGTGTTGAGGAATAGAGAGGTGTGGCAGAAAGACTGAGACAGGTTCCACTGCCAAAATAATCAAGAGCAGTGAATAGTTTCCAAGGTGTTCATTCCCTAAATGGTTTTCCTTTTTTTTTTCTCCTGGCTTCAGCGGAGCCAGAGATCTGAGAAATCAGGGTGCTTCTATTTTGACTTAATTCCTCTTGGTGTGGTGTAGTGGGGAAGTATTACAAGTAAAGCTGCAGTGCAGCAAAACACAGAAGATCACTTTTCATTTACCATGTTCTTATATTCCAAATTGAAAAGTAGTTAACACAGAATCCAAGATGAAATGCCAGAGAGGGCTTTATACCATGTATGAAATGGAAATGCATTTGTTTAGAGGAAAAAAACACAATTCACTGATGCTTGTTGGATACGAAAATGGCAACTAAGTGGTTTTGAGTATGTCTGTTTGTTATTGTACTATTAACTGAACAGTTGAGCTGAACCTTCGAACATTCATTTTGGGTTTGCATTTAGGACAAAAATTCAGATTGAGTTCGTTTTCTCTGTTGATCATGACATACCACTTTGGAGTAGATTTCATCTGTGGTTTAAATATTGTCAGCAGAACCCCATCGACATTAGTACTTCTTATCTCTAGATGTTCTTAGATGGGAGGAGGAGAAGAGTTTTAGGTATAGTTAAAACTACAAAGGCGAATAAAATTATCAAACTGATGCTCAGCTGGTGAAATACTGTAGGAAGGAACAGTTTTGTATCTCATGTGTCTCTCATAATGGCATCATGAAAACGAGGATAGGATATAACATTCCCACACAAACATGACTTGCCTTCTTGTCCAGTCCTGTTGCTTAAGTAAGGTTTTGTTTGTTCCTGTTTCCGTGGCCTTTGGCAGAGGGTGGGGGATGACCTCCGCTTTCCATTTCTGTCATACAATGAGAATATTGGCATTTGATGGTAGGCTATTTGCTGATAAAATATATTGGCCTCGTTAAAAACACTTCTGTAATTTGGCAGTCAGTCCTTTCCTACTAACTGCAGATTGATAAATAGTAAGTAACTTGTTTGTCTGAAATGTCAAGAAAGCAGAGTAATCCAGCTTCACCCAATTCCTTAACACAAAGTTGGACTTCCATGGAGCGACTTTATGGACTAGGCAAAGCCAAGACAGCTTTCAGAGCAAAATATTATTTTCTTGTGATGGTATCCAGCCACTGTGTCACTTTTCTTTTATCTCCATTGAGAGATATTAATTGAGCAAAATACAATGTGGTGGCTGGTGTAGTGCAGTAACGTCTGCTGCTGATGGCCTGCTTTCTGAGTCCATTAGATTTGTAGATTTATTACAGCCAGAGTATTTTAACCTGAAGTATTCTGTACTGCTTCAATTTGAGTCATGTTTGGTTATGGACATTTATTACTAATCTGAAATCCTGTCTGACTGGACAAAGTCCAGGTTGGACAACTAATCTGTGAGGCATCGTAAGTGAAGAGCATATGCTAAAATACTTCCTGTGTGGATTTTAGTGCGTCTGCATTGGCCTTTGTATGAGTGATGCAGTAAAAGCTTTGTCTTTTGGGGAATTTTGAAAGAAACCGGAAAACAGCTAAATAAAGATAACGAAGTGGCAGAGAGTCTGAGTTGAAGTTCAGCACGCAGGAAGATGTGGCTGGGGGTTTGGGGGGTCCCCCCTTCCCTGCCGTAGTGTGAGGATGGTGCAGTACCATCGTGTCCTGGAGCCTTCCATGCTCCAGCAGCTGTTACTTTTCTAAGCAATGTCACTTAGTTCACTGGCTGGTTTTTATAGAATCTCAGAATCGTTTAGGTTGGAAAAGACCTTTAAGATCCTCAAGTCCAACTTGTTAACCCAGCACTGCCAAGTCCACCACCAAACCATGTCCCCAAAGCACCACATCTACCCGGCTTTTAAATACCTCCAGGGATGGGGACTCAACCACTTCCCTGGGCAGCCTGTGCCAATGCTTGACAACCTTTTTGGTGAAGAAATTTTTCCTAATATCCAATCTAAACCTCTCCTGGTGCAACTTGAAGCCGTTTTCTCTTGTCCTATTACTTGCTACTTGGGAGAAGAGACCGACCGCCACCTCGCTACAGTCTCCTTTCAGGTAGTTGTAGAGAGCGATGAGGTCTCCCCTCAGCATCCTCTTCTCCAGACTAAACAACCCCAGCTCCCTGAGCCGCTTCTCACCAGCCTTGTGCTCCAGACCCTTCACCAGCTTCTTTGCCCTTCTTTGGACATGCTCCAGCACCTCGATGTCCTTCTTGTAGTGAGGGACCCAAAACTGAACACAGTATTCAAGGTGCGGCCATTTTAGCTGGTATTTGGAACTACAGCTGCTACTACAGCAGCAAAACTTAGCCATGAGAATTCCTTTGTGTGCTGGTATGGCCACTCAGTGCAAACAAGAGCATTAGAAAGGTCCCCTTGTTCACAGGATCAGAACTGGGCCACAAGCATATGTTTAACTACAGCTGTGTCTCACAAGAGAATCCCTGTGAAGAACCCCAAGTGCACTCTGTACTCCCAGTAATCTTTGTATTTTGAAGGAGTTCTTTACAGATGGGCTGATTTTAAAATACCAGTTTCCGTTTCTGTAATCACGCTAATCCACCTGTTGAATATAGCATGTTCTGGACTTCAGATGTCATGAGCAGGGAAACTGGGTTTCCTCTGTGCACCTGAGTGCCTCCTTGTAATAAGTGATGTGACTAGCAAAGAAGAATCCCACTGTCTAGCAACAAGGGGAAGGAAGATGTTTTTTGACCATTTAAACTCGCAGCCATATTAGACTATTTCTTTCAAAATATTTCCTTTCCACTGCCCTCCTGTTGGAGCTGGCAGTGGTGGGAGGGTTGCTACTGACAAGTCAGAGATTTTTCTAGCTCAGCTGTGGAGTTTCAATTGGGTGTTTATTAATATATCCATGCCCCCTGCAACATTGCTTCCTCGAGCAAACTCAGCCTTGTCATGTTAGGAAATGTGTGAAGACAAGATTTAAAGGTTTCTGGTTTCTTCTGTTCCATAAGGATCTTGTATTGTACTTGTTACCAGTGATGCAGCCACATTTATTTGTCAGTGACTATGGTAGTAGGAGAGTGAGCATCAGGAAACCTCTGTTCTGTCCTCAACTACTTACGGCTCATTTTGTGAATTAGGGTAGATGATTAAACTCTATATCTCAGACTTCCCATTCTTTATCTGCCTTTTGTTAAGCGCTCTGTGATGTGCAGATGAAAGATGCTGCATTGATAAAGAATATGAGAATGCAGGCATGCATTCATGGAAATAACTGCAAACTGGGCACATCTGCTCAGCTCTTGGAAAGCTGCCCATTCAGCCATGGCTGTTGCCAAGTTTGAGCCTCCCTCTCACGTACAAGTAAACACATTCTTTATTTAGGGCTTGAGGACTATTTTAGTATTTCATCAGTTTGATATCACTTTAGATAAGGGGCTGAATCAAGTCATAATTGTTAATTACACATTCTCATTAAAGCATGTGTCTGCTGTATATCAGAAGGATAACAGTGGTCAAATATACTGATTACAGTGCCTCGTTGTTCTGCAAATCCATCCCTCTGTCACACATCCTGAGACAAGCATGAAATCAATTATGAAACAGCATTTTAAAATATCAATGACTTCTGTTGTAGGTGCTGGAGAAATCATATTTCTGCTATTCTGTAATTGAAAGGGACCAGATAAAGTCCTCCTTCTTGCCAGCACAGGAAAATTGCAGCTGCAGCATGTGCTGCACATGGTATTTCTCGCCTAGAAAGCATTGGAGAGAGTCTCTCTCTGTTTGGGGCCTGGTGTGAAAAACATTTAACTCCTTAATAATCCCTTATCCAGGACTTTGAAACTTGCCATCCTACTTGGTATCTTTCTACTTGACATGAAAAAGAAGGGGAGAATGGAAAATGTAAACCTATGTTCCTTTAATAGTCTTGAGTTTTTGTTTCATGACTGCATAAAAGCTTGTTTGGAGATTTGTTGTTGTTGTTGTGTAGCACTATTCAGGGATGGTTCATGTCTTCTCTTACAGAATATTGATATTACCAACTTCAGCAGCAGCTGGAGTGATGGGCTGGCCTTCTGCGCTCTCCTGCACACATATTTGCCTGCACATATTCCTTACCAGGAGCTCAACAGCCAGGATAAAGTAAGTTTTGTTGTACCTGCTTCTACACCATTTGCAGAATTCACGGTGAACATTTTGATGGATATGTGGTAGAGACACAGTATTGCAAGATCTTAATCTTGATTGATACAAAATAAGTAGATGGGAGCAACAGTAAGAGGCAAGTATCAGTTGAGAACTTACAAAGCAAACAGACTGAATGAGAAGGGGAAGGAAACCAACAGTGAGCTCCCAGAGGGAAATGCAGGGACTACTGGATAAAGAGTTAGTGACAGTTGCCTGAATCCAGCGAGTGCTGTGGATAAACATGAAGACAGCATCCCGTTTGAAAGGCTAAAGCATTTCTGGACTCCTGAGTTAGCAGCGCATGTTAAAGGTTCTGGATCAGTAGGCAGAGAGATCATTCATTGAACTACTTGGGCAGCAATGTATCTAAAAGTCAGTCCATGTCAGCACATTCCAAATATGTTATTAAGACGCTCCCAAAGGGGAGGAACCTGGATTTACTTCAGACAGCTAGTATCTATTACAATAAGAATTATACTATATGGAGGAATGCCTTACATTAGTTAACACCTCTTCAGAAACCTTTCACTCATAATAAAGACAGAACCTCAGTGGGGTTTTTTTGCCCAGTTGTAATCAGTTTCACAAGAACCTATGTGTCAAAAACAGAGGGCTGTAGCTTGGGCAAAAGTAGATGAGCTATTCAAAGACAAAGAACTTGTTTGTGAGTATACCTTACTAATGTAAAAAAGTGTCTATGTGAAAGTATTGAATCTAGTCTTTTTTTGCACTTGTCAAATATACCTGTTCATTTAACCTTACTGATTAACCAGATGCAAGGTAGGGTTCAGGAATCATATTTTGATAATAATCCTTTCGAACTTTTGTTTTATTTTTACAGAAGAGAAATCTGCTGTTAGCATTTCAAGCCGCTGAAAGTGTAGGCATCAAACCCAGCCTGGTGAGTAACCTTCTTTTAGTAAAGGCAGATTTGCAGCAGACATCGTTGCAAAGCCTTTGTTGCCATGTGGCCAGTCCGTCAGCTTGCACTGAAAATGTTCACATAGTGCTAGGGAAGGCTGCACCACCATCTCTGAAAGTTCATAGTGTTAGGAGAACTTCCAGCAAGAATTTGTAGAATCATAGAATTAATGTAATTTGAAGGAACTTCTGGAGGTCAGAATGAGAATATTGATTATGTCCTCCTCTTGGAAGCTGATTCCAGATGATTCCTATTGTCATGGGCAGACTTGTCTGTTAGACCATTTCCTTTCCTTTTGTTTTAGTGTTTTAAGAAACAGAAGGATAATTTATTTGTTAAACTGTTTAAAAAGCCTTTTCTAAAATCAACAGTATAATGACAAGGAAGAGATAAGTTTAATATAAGGGAAAAAATATTATGGGGTTCATGAACATAAATACAGAACGGAAGACATGCAAAGAAGCAGCAATTTAAATGAAGTTGTATAGAGAACTGATCTTTGATTGCAGATGGAAGAAATCTTTTCAGAATGTAAAATGCATATAGCTGTTTAACTAGTTTGTTAACGAGTTTCAGAATTGCGCTAGGCCAGTAGATCATTCCCGTGGACTTTTATACTGTATATGGCTTTAAGGAGCTCTGTAATGGAAGCAGAAGTAGTGTTCAAATAGCCACGGCTACTCAGGGGACCCAGGGATGTTCCCAGTGGTGGTGCTTGACTAAATCTTGACAATGTGTCTGTCCTATGCAGGAACTCAGTGAGATGATGTACACAGACCGGCCAAACTGGCAGAGTGTGATACAGTACGTCGCCCAGATTTACAAGTACTTTGAGACCTGAGATGCAGAGCAAGAGGTGGACAGAAGTGGGGAAGAGAACAAAGAATGCTACAGATGCACTCGATCACTTTAAAAATCCACTTGCTCCTCTTCCACAACCAACCTAAGCTCTTAGTTTGAAAGAAAGCTCTTCCATAATTTTGATTAGATTACATCTGGGACTGTAACCAAATAAATATCCATTGACCATCTATACAAACCAAATTCATCTGTAATTTTATTCCCACGTGGAAATTGCAAAGCATTTTCTTTTTTTGGGATATTTCTGAAGAGGATCCCTTGTGCTAAACAATGTTTGCCTCAAACCAGACTCCACCAACAGGAGACCTGCTACAAAATGAAGTTCTAAATCGATGTGGACTATGCTGGCACTCAAGGGAGGCTGGGAGATTAATATTAATACAAAAGCTCACAAAAAATGCTCTTCTTGCCAAAACATGCTTAACTCATCCCAAATACATGTTGTTTTCTTGCCTCCATATATTTTATAAAACATCATGACAGATGCACATAAGTGCATAGGACCTTAACCTGAGTTATTCTCACGCGTCTGACCCAATAAGTACACTAGTTTGCTTGTCATACCTTAACCAGCAGGATAATAACAGGATCATTTGTAACTTGGAAACCATGCTCTGTTCCACCACCAGTTAGTGAAGGAACTCTAAAAGATCCTGTTAGGTGCTGGGACTTAATTTCGGATCGAACAGAAGTAATCTCCTTGAGGAAAAATAGCTTTATTACTACAACGTCATTACTTGATTACTACGGGAAGCTGGAGCTTGGTTTCCCAGCTGACTGTGCGGGCACAGTTGTCATAGGAATATTGCAAATCCAAGTTACTAGCTTTAGTTTGCAAGGTGCCAGTAATCAGGTGCTGAGTCTCTAAGCAATACAGTGACATCTCAGTAGTTCGTATTTTTGTGGATTGAGTAACTTCTTTCTTCTGTATTGATCCTGTATAATCAGCACAGATATGTAATTGCCATGTAAAGGCACGAATCTTGAGACGGCCTGTGCCCTGTACAATAAAATGTAGTCCACAAGGCACTGTTACACGCTTGGAAATGATGTTACCCTGTAAAGGAACACAGTAATATATGAGTACCAATGGAAGTTGCAGCTTCACTCTGCAAGTTACAAAGAATGTAACTGGAACCCCTCCCTGTGTCATGGAAATCTCTAAGGCGCCAGAGAATAGCTTTCCAGCTCAGTGATACTGTTAGTAAAATGTCTGAAAGATACTGTTTAATTTCCATTATACTGTTTCTCTTATTTCACCTCATGGAGTTAAATTTTCTGTTTGTCTCCAAGAACAGCAGGATCAAACAGGCTGCTTCATTCGTTCTAGGAGCAGGTGTTGGAGAGCATGCTTTGTACAGGACCTCATAGAAGGCTGCCTAGCAGCTTTAGATTATGCTGGTAGAAGAAGAGTTGTTTAGTTGGCATGTTTAACCCTGTGACCAGACTTGACGCTTTGTGAATGTTAATCATAGGGAGCTAGGGATCATTTCTCTCTTACAAAAAATAATAGTGCGTGCTCACTGCTCTTAACTCCTGAAGAAAGGCTCATGAAATAGGCACAAGCGATTTCACAGAAGAAACTTGTGTTCAGGTTTTCTGGGGCTTTGCAGGTGGCTGATCTCAGCCTCTGGCTTCCCCACAGGGCTTTGTTGTTTGTTTTTTTAAATACTATTTAATTAGTAAACAACCTATTTCAGACTTTGGTTTTCTCACAGCAAAATACAGGATTAAGGGATGGATGACAGTGGCTGAGGTCAGTGAGTGTATTAAACAGAAAGGAAGTTGGAGGAATGCAGTGTCTGCCTGTTTCACAGGAGGAGAAAAGCATCACTTGCTCTTAGTTTTAGACTGACATTTATTCTAATCCATCGCCCCCAGGAAAGTCTGATTCCATTCTTTTGAGAGTTTGTGTGATAAAAAAGGACAGTGGCACGCACTCACAGTGCCTTCGCACTCTGTGTCATCCTATACTGTGAGAAAGCAGTTGTAAGTGCTGACCACAGTTATTTCTTTGCAAAAGAGTGCTTTCTAGATTGAATTAACTCTGCAGTATTTTTCAGCATACACTCTGCCATCCCTTGAGAACATAGGATGAGTTGCTCTAAGTGTTCTTAGATAGAGTCTCCTGTTATGTGGTAAGATGGAAGAGAAAAATAGCTGCTAAGCAGAGTTCATTTAGGAAGGCAGTCACACTGCCGAGCCCCATTGCCTTGTGGATGCAGCAGGCTCTTTTCCCTTGAGACATCCATTGGCAGAGATCCCAACTCTCTCCAACGGGCTGTAGTTCAAAGCGTAGTGAAGTCAACACAGAAAATTCCATATTCCTCAGTGGGCTTTGGATTGGGCACTTGCAGGGATGAGAAAAACTGTTTTAATTCCCAGCATCTGGTAAACATTTAAAAGTTAGAGGACTCCACTTGATCAAAAAAAGATGATCTTAACCCTCTGGTCACTGCAAGCGTGTTCCATGTGACTGTCAGATGTACACTAAATATGTATGTTATTTAATGTGTCAGTATCATTTGCTTCAAGCGCTGTTCTGACATTTATTTTAATCTATTTCTCCAAGGCTTATTCTAACCTTAGAAACCATTCTGTTTGATCTAGCAGCTTTTTTTTTTTTTTCAAATTATTTTTGCAAAGCAATGTTTGTGTCATCTTTCTGCAGTTTATTCTCCCATGCCCCCCAGTAGCATAGACCAAACACTAATTCTACTCAATTCTAATGGTATATTCTTGAAAATTTTTACTTAGCTAAGAGTTAGAACAAGGAGCTGTCTGTCAGTAGGGAAAAAGATACTTAGTTTCACCATTTGCTCAGTGTTACTTTCCAGTCCTCAAACCTGCAAAACATCTCATTTTGAAATGCTGATACTTTGAGATTGAGAGATGCTCTTCCAGATTATTTTTTGAGATTAAGAATATTGTTTATTTGTTCATTTAACTGTATTTTTTCTTGTTTTTGAACCTTGCGTAGTTGCATTTCTAGACCTGGATTTTCAGAAATTACTGTTGGTTTTTCATGCTGCCTTAAAATTTGACGATGAATTTAAATTTGTCCCACAAAAGATGCTGCAGACCAGCCTGATTTTCAGAAAATCTACAGGCCCTTGTAAGACATATTTCAACTGCAAAGTTAAAGTTCTAGCTGCCTTTAAAATTAGAGAATTTGTTAATTAAGTTAAGCTAGAGGGTATAGGGGTAGTCTTCATAGAAGTTCTGAGAATCCTCTGAAAATGTCCTAGAATGAAACATGTGATGATACGACATGGATGGTGTAATGTGTTGTATCAGTAACAGTTTGCCTAAACTGCCTAAATCCTTTCTGACTTTGCCTCTTAGGAGTAATGGATCTTTCCCTGATGCAGGCGGATGAAATCTCTTCACCGTGTCACCATATGCTCCCTAAATATACAGTCGCTCTTAAACATACCTGCACATGCCTGTATGTGTGTACCTGGGTAGTCTCTCAGACTACAAGACACCAAATAGCTGATTTTGGATGAGCATGTGAGAAGAATGGTTAGGATGGGGATTTCCGTGAAGTTCCATGGAGGGATATCGCATCGTGTGACTGTTGTACTATAGCTGTTAGAGAGGAAGGAGATTAAAGTGTAGAAGGTATACAGTCTGACTCCCAGAATTTCTGGCGAGTAGAAGGTACAAATTGTTTCATGGCTTGGGAAGGTACAGAGGCGTTGAGAAGCGAGCCCAGAGTCAGCCCTTTAAGAAGGTTTTCTAGAAAGGCTGATGGAGCTGTTTCTGAAAGTATGCAATGAAACTGAATGGAGTGAAAGTCCCGCGTGTGAGGAGAGGCATATATGGGACATACATACCTGGGCCTTTGTGGGCAGCAAAGGACATCAGCTTGAGAGTCCTTACTGACTGTCATCTTGAGGGACATTTCTTCTAAGAGTGCAGCCTGGGGTGGATCGTGAGGATGAGGAGAGGAGAGAGCACAGAGCTTGCTGCCTTTGCCAGGTTCCCCTTCCTGTGCCTGTGACAGTCACGGAAATGCAAAGGGGACAAGATTTCCCGGCTCTTCCTCTGCTGCAGCAAGGCAGCCGTGCTAAGCAGAGTGATTTTTGACTTATGCACGTTCTCCAGTTTCCTCTCAGTGAGACACATTCTCTTTGAGTTTTGGCAGGTTTTCTTTTTGTAATTTGAAGTTGTTTTTTACAGGTTTTCTCTATGATTTTTCTTGTTTTGTATGTGCAACCAGTTATGTGCAAGTTTTCTGTCCAAACCAAGTAAGTGCACGCTGGCAGAATGATTGGTTCTCCCCTGTTTGATTCCTGACCTGGAACTCTTCAAAATCTACCTTTGTGCTTCCCTGACTTTCTCCCTTCCTTGGCAATGAAAATACGAGCAGTGGCTCATGGGGTTGTAGTTTGTACCTCCCTCGTCTCCCCGTGCTGACCGTACCGGGTCTGCCAGCAGGAGGTATCTGACGGAGCCAGCTGTTTGCAAAGCTGTGCCTTGCGTGTCTGATAAAAGGCAGTCTGTATGGGATGAGGTTATGCATTTTCCTGTCAGAAGAGGGCTTTTGCCTAAAAAGACTCAGGGCACTGAGCATTAAGACATTTTTAAACCCAGCAATAACTTCTACTATGCCTGACTATATTGGTTTTTACCAACACCAGTGCCATTTAGACTCACTCACCGGTGTGGTGTAGAATCAAGCTTATACCTGAACTGCAATTAACATTTTTCTCAGCTGATGGTCTCTATGTTTTTGACTTGCACGTGTGCCAAGTTCCACTGGGCAGTGCTGGACACGATGTTTTTATTGATTGTTGGTCCAGGCTCGAGTTTGTCATATGGGATAATCACCTCTAACAGTCAAGTACTTTTAGCTTTCTCTATTGGGTACAGATGTTACATCGTAATCTAATTTATACAAAGAGCACATTAGAATGTATATACTAGGCATTGCCAGATTTGGACATGCTAATATTTAAAGATTAACATTATTAAAATGTATGATGCAAAAATCTGTGTAATATTTCTAATAAATCTTTTTCTGTTTCTGATGTTTGTTGTAATGTTTCAAATATCTACATACAAAACAGATTCTTCTGCAGTCTGCTGGTAGGCAGGGCTCGCAGGAGAGTTGTTATAAGATACTCATGGTTCATTGATTCTCCTACGCTGGTAGCAAAGAAAATTTGGTCAGAATCTTCTTTTTTTTAAGTAACTTAGATGCATTTGAATGCCT